GGAGTTCTTTTCCATCATGACAACGCCAGGCCACATGTTGCAAAACCGACCCTGGCCAAACTGAAGGAGGTGAATTGCACCTTCTGACTATCATTTGTTTCGATCGCTGCAGAACAATTTGAATGGAAAAAAAATTAAAAATTTGGAAGACGTCAAAAATTACCTTGACACCTTTTTCAACGAGAAACTGCGCGATTGGGAGTGGATTGCCGAACATGATGGCGAATACATAATTGATTTATAAAAGGGCCTTCTTCAAAAAATTTCAATTTTAGTTTGCACTTGAAATCGGGCACGAACTTATGCACTCATCCAATACAAACGAAAATTTTAGTTTTTCCTCACTCACTCACCCTAGTATTTTTATTTTCTGTTATGTTTATTAAAATTTTGTTTTCCACTTAAATGTGTAAAAAATTTAGTGAAAAACTTACTGTTAATTTTTATGAACAATAATAAATATTTTGGCTTATACTTCAACATTTTCGTTTTTTTTTTTAGCAAAGTACTTATTGAAGTCATTTAACATGTTGTAAGACTTTAGATTTTAAAATTTTAGTTTGAAATCAACCAAGGAAGATTAAAAATATATTTTAAATATTTAAAAAGCCGCCAAATCTTTTAAAAAATTAAATCTTTTATTTACTGATTTGATTTTAATTTTTAAGGTGTTTTATTCTTTAATAAGTTAGCAGCTCCTATTGGACTACCTGCCGACGAAGTGTGGCTGATTTCAATTACGAAAAGTGGCAACCTCGCTTAGAAAATATAAGATATTGAAAAAATTAAAACTTAAAAGTACACAAATCATATAAAAGATTCGGTTGGTATTTTTAAACTTTTGTCTATATTGCAAGTTTCAAAACTTAAAGAATTAAAGAATTATACCAGACTATTAAGGCTTGAACTTTTCTCCAATTTTCTCTATTTTTTATTACACTAATATTCGCTTTGTTTCTGCCTCTATCGCAGTGGGCGAGCTGAATTCAATACTACTAACTGTCAAACAAATTTTTTAACACTATGCTGATTTGCGCGCTCGCTTCGATGGGAGAGAAGAACGATCTCAACAAGGATGCCTTTTGTGAGCGCCTGGAGCACACTTTTGAGCATTATCCCCTGCACGATGTCATGTGTTTTGCCACTTCAACATAATGGGGATCAAAGAAGGTATCTTCGGCCCAACTTTCGGACAATTTAGCCTCTACGATGAAACATCCTTTAATGAGGAGGGGCTGAACGACTTCGCCGGAACCCAAAATATGGTTGTCTATGGCGCTAGATTCCAGCAAAAAAAAAATCACGAAGCGACTTGGTTGTCTCCATATCGAAAGACTCATAACCAGATCTATAATGTTATGATAGACGGAAGACAGTTAAGCGAACGTTCCGAGGCTCTATCATCGACCAACAAAATAGTGTTCAGCGAAAATACGCACCCGCTTTTGTGTATCGAAGAACGCACGTCAACAAACACAAGAAAGGTGCAACGTTGAAAAGCCGCAATCACAACAGCCTACCGAGCGGTTTTCTACCCGACCTACACATCTGCTCTCTGAGAGTACTCGATATAAAGAATCTGTGGGACTGGAATTCAAATTAAATATGACCAGCTGCAAGCGAAACCACTGGATTTCGGAAAGAACGCAAATAATGGTGACATCCGTGTCGCAGTAGAGCAAAAACATACTACCTACCAGGCAAACTTGCGATCGACCATAACACGCGTGGGGTGGGATAGAAACCGAGAGTCGGAAGGACTTCCTCAAGTCGTTTGATAGTGAGCGAAGACAAGGCAAAATATCTGCTGTCAACACACAAACAGTTACCGCATTCGGAACTCGGCTCCTACATCACTCTCAACAGTCATAACTTTGAAGTCGTAGATAACTTCGTCTGACTTGGAACCAGTATTAACACCAACAGCAATGTCAGCCTGGAAAACCAACGCAAAGTCCCTTTTGCCAGCAGCTGCTACTTTTGACCGAGTTGGCAACTGAAAAGTAAAGACCTCTCCCGACGAAGGAAAATCAAGCCCTATAAGTCGCTGGGAGTCTATGCAATACCCATTGGTGGAAGCAATGGTAGAGCAAGGCCTACACTCCGTTTGGAAAGATGAGGGAAGAGTGAGAGTGGTGGAGTTGTTTCACTTAGTAACTTGCGCTAAATAGCGAAATAAAGAGATGAAGGCACGCTGATGTTGATTAGGCTATAATCACGTAAGCGGTGCAAATACAATAAAGCAGAAGAATTAGCAACTCTCCTCAAAAATCTAAAAAAAAACTTGACAATCCTATTATACTATTTTATTATTGTATATATATTTACCTCTCTTTTTTTCTAATTACACTTTGTTTTTCTTAAAATCTGGTAACACTTTGTGTGCACCATACGAACAATTTTTGTTAGGGTTTTCTCAGCTTTTCTCTGTAATTTCTTTATTACATTTTTTTCTTCTTCACTCACACACATTTTCACAAAAATATTAATTGCTGACTCCAAACGCTTTCAAAATTTTTGCTGTGATTGCAGATTTCTTGCAAAAAAGCCTGCAGGTGCCTAGCACACTAAAGTATTACGTACATACATGTTGTGAGGTATTATATTTGTGAAGTTAGTTACTGCAAATTTTTAGTTTATTTCGTATATTTTCACAAACTTTCAGGGTTTTAAGTGCACTTCTTCCGCGCCTTTTTTTTTTTTGCTCTCAATTAAGCTCAAATACAAAAAATTAATTTGCGGTTTTATGTGTCGTTTATATGCTGATACTTGAATGCTCGATTTAAAAATATATTGGAAAAAGTGTTGACTTTTTAATGAAAAGAATTGAACTGTTGAAATTATATGAGCTGGAAATTAAAAAAGAAACATTTTAATTTATATCTTTATGCATTAAAAACAAATTTAAGGTAAAAAGAGAATTTTTTTTTCCCATGAAAACAACATAGATTCCGTTAGAGAGAGAAATGCGAAACTCATTCTGAATTTTTATATACTTAAAAAAAATATATATTTAAAAAAAAACAACTTGAAACTATAATCATAATGCGGCCTTAAGGGTGAAGTAGGGTTTAGTCTTGCTACGGCCAGACTTTTCCGATCCTTGTGCAAGTTGCGGTAGCCAAATCATGTGGGACTTTGGTCACAGCAAGAAGAGAAGCAGCTTCTGCGTAGTCACTAAGACGTATTCATTTGATGGCTTCGCAGAAGGCTAATTGAAGTGTCTGTTCACTATAGGCGCAGCAGCGAACAGGCATCGGCCATCAAACAAGCGATAAAAAGATATTTTTTGCTGACGTCAGAGAATGATCCACTTCATCGGTGTCCGAAATATCGTCGTCTGTTGTTGCACCATCACATTTTGTGATACGCTTAAGGCCTTAGTATAATATAAGGGAACAAACGTAAGAAGCTCCCTTAGTGCAGCTGATGGAAAAATAGTGGAGTTTGGATTTTAATGCCGCAATGGAGCCTAGAAGTTCAAAGAAAGAAATGAAACAGACCGAAATGTGTGAATTCGAAAAAAGAGCTAGAAGGCAAAAGAATGCTCGATAATGCTTTGAAAAGGTGAGATTTATTTAAAGAAAGCTTCAAGACCGGAATAAAAATTGAAATCTTCTGACCTACGCCCAAAGCATATTTGCTGTATAAACGGAACACTGTTTCAGCCTGTGGTGAACCAAAATCCGCCATCTTTGATGATGAAACATTACATTAAATTACATGACATTAAATTACCCGACAGCTGCTCATACCAGAAATCTTTCAAAGAAGACCGATTCTGTAAACTACAATTTATCTTCATCTTCTCACATTATGATTTCCGAGGCGATTTATATTATTTATATTATATTATTCTTAAACAAATAGGGTGATGAGCTATTATAAAAATCGCTATATTTCACTTAATGAGATTGACACAAACTGCGACCGAAGTCAAAATATTTTACTTTTTTTTAGAACGAATAACCTTCCTAAATATAGTGGGAAAAAAATATAAATCAACAAAAAATATTTTATAACAAATATTAATATTTCAAAATCATAGTCTTGTCTTCAATGTTTGAAGGTAACAATTCAGCGTCAACCTTCGACCCAATAGTAATTCGAAAGCGGAATGTATTCACCTTCAACATTGATTAGAAAAAGATCATTTCACAGTCTAAATACTCACATGGCTTGACAAAAATTCATTGGGCTATCTTGATTGTAAAACCACGAGTTTTTTTGACCTTTTTATAAAGACTACCTCACATGACAACCATCAACCACTTGAGCATGTTCGATTAATCGAACCTCGTGATATAAACAAATGCAAAATGAAGTGGGTGCGCGGTAAAACAAATTTTGTCACACAAAATGATGTTTTTTTTTTATCAAAAACGAAAAGCCTGTGAGTCAGCAAATAGAATATATATGTATATATGTATGTATATATATATATATATATGTATATATATATATGTGACTAACGCCTTGTAACGGAAAGCATAAATGAATTGCTTATTTACAACGAAATATAAATACTTCATACCATTAAATAATCTGTTCAAGATATATTTATGTACATGTAAGTATGTATTTCGACGTAAAAAAAGGGCAAACTGATACATGAGTAGTGTCACAATAATATCAGCGTAATGCCATTTATTTCATTGAAGTACCATAATTATATTACGGTTTATTACACTCAAGATTAGCGTGAATATCACAAAATATAAACAATTTATTGACTACTTTGACTTCAACTGCTAAAAAAACAGTTAATTGTTGCAGTTGTGTTTTGGAAACGGTTGTGGTCAGTGCGCTTGGATGAGGTGTTAATTAAATGTGTTACGGTAGAAATAATTTTGTTAAATTTTCAATAAAAAAATTTCAGAAAATATATACTTTTTTTTAGCTACACGCTTAAAAAGTCGAAAAAAAAATTAGTTGAATACAAAAGACAATGTAAATAAAATTGAAATTAGGAAATAATTATTTAAACACGAGTGCGTGATTCCGTGGAATATATTTTATTTTTTCTACCTTTGCTTAGTGAAATAAATGAGTGGATTAATAGATAATTACACATGTGTGTGTTAATCAATTGTATATTTATGTTTTCCCAAAAAAAAAAGCTAGTGAAAAAGTAATGAATTTAAATTGATTTAATATACGTCACGCATACGCCATGTACGACGAGCCATTACAACACGCTCAATCGCTCAAACCATACAATTACAATACATACATATTCACACATACTCTGCTGGTTTACATCGCCTTATTATTATTAGTTAATTACAATTGTATTTTTCGCGTTTTTTCGGATTTTCTAAAGACGTTTTTTACATGCGTGCTAACCAATGTAATCTTTCATTATAAAAAAAAAAGAAAAAAAAATAAATGATAAATAAATAATTGATTGGATGAAACGTTCTCTAATAATCAACGCCGTTGTTGATATGGCAATTATAGTAATTACCACAAGCGCTGATAATGCAATATTGACATTTGATAACAAGCAGTTCACGAAGAGAAGGGACATATGAGCCTATGAAATATTTTAAACATAAAAAATTATTCATAAATTAATATACTTCAGCATTAAGCAGATAGTGACGTACAACACGTGGCTGAGGAGAACCAAGTATTGATAACAAAGTAAAAGTACAATGTCATTTAAGCCCTTAGCTTTCGATGAAAAGCCCATGATACTGTAAAATTGCTTCAATGAAGAGTGCTATTTATCATTTCTACACCCAAAGACATATACCTATATATATATTTATATATATATATAAATGAATTTATTTTACGCATATTTATATGGGAAATTTCTGTACGGGATATCCTATTTTCTCCAACGTGATCGATTTGTAAAATTTATGCCATAAAGTTCCCCAAAACAAAAGAGTGGGAAAATTCTATCATTCAATCACTCGTAATATGTATTGAACATAAAAAATAATTTCTTGGTTAATAATCCACTTTTCAAGGTCTTCCATAAATTTATAAAATGGACTTGACATTGCTCCTGAGTTATTAGTTTTAATTGTTGCTTCGCCTGTGGCATAATAAGTTTTTATTACTTACTAATATTTTAGTAGCGTTTCTCTTCGTAGTAAGTACTAAGTATAGAGTAATACTAACATGTCTTAAATTAAGAAGATGCCTTTAAAAATACATATATATTTTTTTTACGCTTTCACTGTCTAATTATACCACTTGGCGTTGGTTTTTGATTTGAGATAAGATAAGGGTTCTACTAGTTTTACTTCGCGTCGTGTTCATCTGTGGCTATATTCATTTCAACCACTGTCATTTCGCGTCGTTTTCAGTAGATGTCATTTGTTTTAGTGTGAACAACAATTTGTTTCATTTATTTGAAAATGTCGAAATTTGCAGGGGGTCCTCCTTCATTACTTTAACACGAAGAAAAGTGCTACCGAAAGCCATAGTATTTTACTATACGTTTATGGTGATCATGCCTTAGCCGAACGAATGTGCCACAAGTGGTTTGCACGGTTTAAAAGTGGCAATTTCGACTTAGACCACGGACAGCCAAACAGATTCCAAGACGAAGAATTAGAAGCATTGCTCGACGCAGATGCATGCCAGACTCAAGAAGAACTTGCAAAAGTATTACGAGTTGATCAAGCCACCATTACCAGACGATCAAAAATATTTTTTCACAATAAAGTCGTAATTTTCGATAAAAAAAAACCGCACGAGTTTATGCATACACCCAATATTTAAAAAAAATTAAAAATCCCTTGGAATTTATACAGTATTTTAATAAAAAAATTTGATATATTGAGATAAATCTTTTAATTGTAGATAAATTTCAAAAATTTTTATGAGCAGGTATACATATATTGGATCAGTGCATAAGTTCGTGCCCGATTCTGCTGGATGCCGTTCCAATAGTTTGAGAGTGGCGCTCGTGAAATAAATATATACATTTTATATATCGTTGGAAAGGTGACAGTCCGAACTGTAAATCAAGCATAAAATAACTTCATTTTGATTTGAGTTGCTTAGTGAAAATACGCATGGAAGATGGACAACGAAAAAGATCATATGCGTCATATTATGTTATACGAATTCCGCAAAGGAAAAACAGTAGGCGCTGCAACTAAAGATATTCGCGAAGTTTATTTGGACCGTGCTCCAGCACTCCGCACAGTAAAGAAATGGTTCGCGAAATTTCGTTCTGGAGATTTTAACCTCGAAGATCAACCTCGCAGTGGACGGCCTTCTGAGCTTGATGACGATGTTCTAAGGACTTTAGTTGCGAATAACTCACGTATTTCGACGGAAGAGGTTGCCAGTGAATTGAACGTCAACAAATCAACTGCGTTTCGTCGTTTAAAAAAGGTTGGGTACACTTTGAAGCTCGATACATGGGTGCCACATCAGTTGAGTGAAAAAAACAAAGTGGACCGTATGTCAACAGCAATTTCTTTGCTTCGACGGATCAAAAACGAACCTTTTTTGGATCGGCTCGTGACTGGTGATGAAAAATGGATCCTGTACAACAATGTTCAACGCAAAAGAACATGGAAACAGGCACACGAAGGGGCGGAACCGATGTCGAAAGGTGGATTGCATCCGATGAAGGTACTGCTGTGCATTTGGTGGGATATCCGAGGCGTGATCTATTTTGAGCTCTTGCCAGCTGGAGAAACGATCACTGCCAACAAGTATTGTCAGCAATTGGTCGAATTGAAGAAAGCAATTGATGAAAAACGTCCGATTTTGGCCAATCGCAAAGGAGTTCTTTTCCATCATGACAACGCCAGGCCACATGTTGCAAAACCGACCCTGGCCAAACTGAAGGAGATGAATTGGGAAATCATGCCGCATCCCCCATATTCACCCGACATTGCACCTTCTGATTATCATTTGTTTCGATCGCTGCAGAACAATTTGAATGGAAAAAAATTTAAAAATGTGGAAGACGTCAAAAACCACCTTGACACCTTTTTCAACGAGAAATCGCGTGATTTCTATTAATCAGACATCCGTAAATTGGTTGAACGTTGGAAGTGGATTGCCGAACATGATGGCGAATACATAATTGATTAATAAAAGCGCTTTCTACAAAAAATTTCAATTTTAGTTTGCACTAAAAATCGGGCACGAACTTATGCACTCATCCAATATATTGAAGTATTAATATGTAGATTATCTCCAATAGAAATACGTACTTTGTAATGACGAGTATGTGCATATTAATATGATTATAGCTGAAAATGATAATTATCGAGAATGTTTCGCTAAGATGACTTTTTCAAAGTGACAAAGTGACAACAGTTTTAAGGGAAACACTGGTCTAAATAAAAAAGTGTGATGAAGAAGTTGAAAGATAGTTGAGAAAGAGTTGATAAATATTAGTGTGACGGAAAAATTCCAATGACTCTTAATTATTGAAGACTTTTGAATTCAGCAAGTGGTTTAATTTGTAGTAGTTGTTAAAATAAAATTTGATGACATGAAGCAGTATCAATTACCATCAACAAAGTAAAAGATTAACAGCTCTAAGTCCAATAGTTTTTATTGACAGCTGTTTGATGAAATCAGACACCAGACTTTAGTCCAAATCGGATGGGTTTTCCTTTGTTGAACTTTTTACGCGAGTGGCTTGGAAAATTTGAAGTTGTTTCCTCATCAATTGAAAAGTTCTGAGCAAACTGATCTGAGTCAGTAATTTTACTGATGTCGCTAAATATAGATGTGGCTTAAGCATTTTTACGGGAGGCCGAACTATGGCCTATGATATGAGTATACTTGGAGTCCAAAATATGATTATATTAACTAACATATCTTACATTGATGAATTTTATGGCAACCGGTAAAAAATAATAAGCCAATGAAAGAGAATTACATGTCATAAACAAAATACGATCAAAATTAAAACATTTTTTTTAGGTTTTCAACAATACCACGAACATATTCGGGTTCAATAACGTCTGGTATTTCATCATATTGGGATATTCTTTTTTCCCATTTTGAACTTCCGAGTACGTATTCAATTTTATAGAGCTTTATGGGATGCACTTCCATGGCAATCTCCTCATGTTCATCATTTGATCCATACTCAAACTCAACCGTGACAGTATCATCCCGGTCAAGTGCAGCATTATCCCCTATTACGTAATCATCAGTGTGCTCTAGACCGAGGGCTTCACCAGTATTAAGCGGAATACATACAGCATTGCCATTGGATGATAATCTGGCCGCAGTAGCTCATCTGCATTATTCTCTATTTAAAAAACTTCAGTTTCCTCAATAAGTTTCTAATTTTTTCTTGTGCGCATTTATAGGCACAGCTTTAAGTGCTTACGAAAATTCCAAAAAAAAAAATTACTTGGGATCGCTTCTTTATGATGCAAGTTGAAGTATGTTGGGGATTCTCCACCACACATTGAACATTGAGGGTTGTGCTTACTTTATAACACGCACTGAGCAAGTCTCACTTCGCAATAAAAAAAAGGAACAGAAATATATTTTTGGATTTTTTTTTTTAAGTCAGTTACTCATTTTTCAATATTGGCTTCTACTACCTTATAAATATATAATCAGCGCTTGGTAACCGCTGAAGCGATGTTCGGCCAAGCTCTTACTACAATTTGCGGTTTGCGTCTTGATATTTTTCCAACAAATTGAGGGATCCACACTTTATATGAAACCGCCTATAAACGGATGATGTTTTGTTTATGAGGAGCATTTGATTTTTATGTCAGAAATACACTGGGAGGGGTTGACATCCCCTGCCAAGGGGCGATCGCAATGAGAAAATTAAACTTAATTTTTTATTCGAATTAATTTTTGCTATCTTTTGGTTGCTAGTCGTACCAGGATTTTAATCCGGGCCTTCCGCGTGGCAGTACGCAATGCTAACCACTCACCTAACGCGGCCGCAATCTTACAGTATAGAATACAACAAACATATTTTGATATACAGACTGTTTTCTCTCCTCCGCGGCATAGTAATTTGTAGCTTGAAATTCCGTACCACTGCTCCATTACACAGAGTGGAGGATGTGTAGAAAACCATTCGGCTGTATGTAAGTCGTGATTGCAGCTTTTCGACGTCGAACCTTCAATATGTTCATTGACGGGTGCGTGTCCTTGCTTCCAGAAGGTGGTGGTCCGAGTCGATGGTGGTTCCTCGGTATGTACGCATGTCAAGAACGCTCGAGGCATGCGTTCTGTTTATCACAACATAATCGGTCTGGTCTTGAGTTCTTCGATCTGGAAACATGCTGGTAGCTAGTACTGTAGACTCAAAAAAAAAAGCTCGAACAAAGCATGGATTCATTTTTTTCTCCTCTTTAATTTTTTTTTAAATCTTTCACCTAGTAGTAGCTACAAATAGCATACTTTATCCAAAAAAAAATTAATAAGCAAAAGTTATTGTGTTATCGCCTTGACTATATCTTAAATAAATTATTGAGTCATTTATGTACATATGTATGCGAAAATCACTGAAAAAAAAATTTTGCTTAAGAACGACTTTTGCGGTTCTTATCTGTAGAATTAAGATTAATACATATACGAGTGCTTATATATATTACGAAAAACTTTAGCAGCTGTCACTGTACTACTTATATGAGTATGATTAAAGATAAAAATTATTTTTAAAAAACATCAATTAATAACACAAAAAGACATAAACACAAGCCACAAGCCACATGCATTTGTACAGAAAAAAAAATAGAAGTACAAAAATACATTGGCTTTCACAGCTTTTGTTGCTGCGCGTTAGAGCGTTTTTTCAACAAATTTATGTTTGCAGTACATTCTTAACCACATATTTATCATGTATATATGAGTCATTTGATCGGAATTATGTTTGTGTAAATTTGTTGTGTGGATGTAATGCAGTACTATATATATAAGTACAAGCGCATACCTAAAAATACTTGTATACACATACATACATGTTCACTTTGGTTACTACAACATTACATATCAACATTTACTAAAATGAAGAAATACAAAATTTATTTTTATTTTATTTTTATTTATTTATTTTTATTTTTTTTTTTTCAGCCACAAAAACTTACACATTCTTACCAAACATCAACAACAATTATAACAATACATACACATCAACACACACCAGTGCACATACGCTTCGCAACGCCGTAACTGAGTTGGTCGGTTAGTTGTTGGGTGACATTCGCTTGCGCGCAACGAGCTATTGATGTTTTAGTGTTTGGTGGTGGTGCCAAGTGAAGCGTCAATATGGGTGATATGTTCCGCAGTGAATCGATGGCCTTGTGCCAAATGTTTATACAACCGGAAGCGGCGTACTCAACGATGGCCGAGTTGGGTGAAAGTGGTTGTGTGCAATTTCGTGATGTAAGTCTCAATATATGTGACACTTTATAGTAATAATAATAACAAAAACAAGAACAAATACTTACGCAAAAATAACAACAGTAATAAGAAAAAAATAATAAAAAAAGAATTTAAAAAAGAAACAAATTATTGTGTCTGCAAAAATAATGCAAGAAAATTGAAAGTGGTAAGAATAAGCAAAGAAAAAAACAGCAACAACAACAAATATATTTACGTAAAATCTAATATAAAACACCAACAAGCATTGTTACACATTACCAATTGCGCTAATTTAAATTATGAGTAAATGAAGATATTTATGAACCAAAATTTTTAATTCTGGTACGAATGAAACGATTTCCGGCCGGCTTCCTCCTCCGAAACGCGGTGCGCGGCTTTATGTTTTTCTAGCAAATTAAATAACCTACATTTTATTCTGAGCCTGCACGAGCTGCTGATGATTTTCTATGAAGATCGTTGATTCCAAGCCAAAAATCTTTCGGAGAGCTTGACATTTTCTGCCGAAAGACCACGATTAGAAAAATTTAATACCAGTCATTTTGGATGTTGGTTGAACCAGAATGCGGTTGTACGTGTTGCGCGGGAAAAAGATTAAACAAAAGAAATATTGTAAGATTACTTAAGCCAGAAATTAGGCGAATTTTTGATTAATATCTGTTTTGAAGAAATTTGGAGAATGAAATAAAGTAGTATTTTCTCGAACGTATACCTGCCAAATATTCAAAATTTTGACTAAAAGCTTAGCTCATTTATAATTGAAGCCTGTACAGATTTTTTTTCGCTGATGGTGTATTTTCTATGGAGTTTAGAACACAAAAAAATACGGTTCCACAAATCACACAACGGTTACAGGATTTTAAAAAAAAATTAAAAAAATGTTATCCCCCAAATGGATTGTTGTGTAGGAACCTTCTTGCTTTTTTGATTTCTGGCCCAGCTCTAATCATTCATGTCCAAAATTTGCAGTTTTTTTGAAGTGGATGATACTGCCCATTTTTCATTTTCCCAATAGGAGATGTATTTTGAACTGAATTATTAGATAAACGAAATTTTGCTTCTCAGCATCGAAAAATTACCGTTAGTCCCGTGCAACGACATTTAAAAGCTGCAAACGAAATACACAAAAAATTTACCAAATCCTAGAGGCATTTTTCTATCGACAATTAAATTAAATTTTTCTCGTGCGACATCATTTTGGTTGCTAAAGTCTAGCCAACTGTCCCGTGCGACTATAATTAAAATAATATAGTTAGCCGAGTGGTCAGCACTCTATACTTGCATTCGGAAGACCTGGGTTCAAATCTTGATGCCACAAGCATACAAAAAGTTACAGAAAATTAAATTAAATAAGAATTTATTTAAATTTTCTAATTGCGGTCGCCCCTCGTCAGAGAATGTCAACCCCATTAGCTGCTCGTAGGAGGCTTAGTACAAACTGTAGGTTTAAGAAAAGATTTTTTTTAATTACTCGAGCTATTTATTAATAATATTCTGCAAATTATTGCGAAAAATCACGAATGACATATTTTTGCAACTACAAAAAGCTGTAAAATCCCTGGCAAGTTTGGTATTCAACTTTTAAAACGAAAAACATTCTCTCTTTATTTTGTTGATTCAAATTGTTTACGTTGAATGCAGATATCGGAAAAAAATAACAATATTTTCTTGCACACCATTCCAGCTCACTAACACACACATCCTGCCTGACACTAAACTTCTTTTCAGCTTAAGCTTTATACGCTTTCACTTTTCTCTTTAACCTTATCTAATTTTGTGTTTGCTTATTTTCCCACACTCTTTCCAGCTGAATGCCCAAGTCAGTGCCTTCCAACGTAAATTCGTTTCAGAGGTCAAACGGTGCAGTGAATTGGAGCGTAAAATTCGTTATATCGAAAATGAGCTACGCAAAGATGACATTAAAATGCCTGAGGTGTTGGATGAGCCGCAGCCACCATATCCGCGAGAAATCATTGACCTGGAAGCGCAGCTGGAGACGATTGAGACCGAAATACGTGAACTCTCCATCAGCAAGGTCAGTTTGAATGCCAATCATCAAGGCTTGATCGAGTTGGAGCTTGTGCTTGAGAATGCGAATGAATTCTTTTCCGAAACTGAGATTGTGAATTTAAGTTCGCGACGCTTCTCGGTTGTTGAGGAGGTGGCACAAATTGGGCAGCAACGTGGTGAGCTGGGCTTTGTTGCTGGTATTATAAGCTTGGAACGTTTCTTCTCATTCGAGCGCATATTGTGGCGCATCTCAATGGGCAATATCTTCGTTAAACGTAGTGATCTCAAAGAACAGTTGCTTGAGGCACAAACCGAGAAACTCGAAACAAAGACGATATTTGTTGCCTTCTTCCAGGGTGATCAGCTGAAGCAGCGTATCAAAAAAGTTTGCGCCGGCTATCACGCCGCAGTGTACCCATGTCCAAGTGCATACGCAGAACGTCAGCGTATGCTTGAAGATGTGCGCATGCGCTTAGCAGATCTCACTTTGGTGCTCAATCAGACGGCAGATCATCGCAATCGTGTTTTAGTTGCGGCTGCCAAACATTTGCCAACCTGGACGATAATGGTGAAGAAAATGAAGGCGATCTATCACACGCTTAATCTTTTCAATGTGGATTTGAGTAATAAGTGTCTGATTGGTGAGGGTTGGGTGCCGACATCTGATTTGCCTGTGGTGCGTGATGCACTGGCGCGCGGCTCGGCCAAGGTGGAAAGCACAGTCCCCTCATTTATGAACATAATTGAAACGAATGAACAGCCGCCGACTTATAACCGCACGAACAAGTTTACAAGAGGTTTTCAGAACTTGATTGACGCTTATGGTCTGGGCTCGTATCGCGAAGTGAACCCGGCGCTTTACACGTGCATCACTTTTCCCTTTTTGTTCGCCGTCATGTTCGGCGATTTGGGTCACGGACTTATAGTGCTCTTAGTCGCACTCTATATGACTTTCAACGAGCGTAAGTTGAGCGAAATCAAAAGCGAAATCTTCAGTATCTTCTTCTCTGGCCGTTACATCATACTGTTTATGGGTTTCTTCTCCGTCTACACTGGATTTGTTTACAACGACATTTTTTCAAAGTCCATGAACATCTTCGGCTCGTCATGGAAGGTGAATTACAACACCACAACCGCGTTGAATAATACGGAGTTGACATTGAATCCTTACTACGATCAGGATGGCGTTTACCCCTATGGCATGGATCCGGTGTGGATATTGGCTGAAAATAACATAATTTTCTTGAACACATACAAAATGAAATTGTCCATCATTTTTGGCCTGGCTCACATGGTTTTCGGTATCTTCATGTCCTTCATTAACTTCGTGCACTTCCGAAAGTATTCACACATTTTCTTGGAATTCGTGCCACAATTGATCTTTCTACTGCTGCTCTTCGGCTATCTAGTGTTCATGATGTTCTTTAAATGGGTCAAGTATTCGGGTAGGGCCACGGAAGATGCGCTAAAGCCCGGCTGTGCGCCATCTATACTTATTTTGTTTATCAATATGATGCTCTTCGGACATACCGAGCCCAAGGACGGCTGCGAGGAGTACATGTTCGAGGGTCAGCGAGTTCTACAAATAGCATTTGTTGTTTTAGCGGTATTGTGCATACCATGGATGTTGTTGGGTACTCCATTGTATGAGAAACTCAAGCGTAATAAACGAGCGGTGAGCGAGTTGGAGTTTATGAAATTAATAGAAAATTTAACAAAATAAATACTTTTAATTTTGCCCTTTTGTAGATTGCGCAAAATGGTGATATTCACGATTCGACACTACCTAACGGTACAGCAGTGCATCAAAAGGTCGGTGACAGTGGTCATGGTGATGAAGAAGAGCCACTCAGCGAGGTGTTCATCAAGCAAGCCATACACACAATTGAATATGTACTCAGCACAATCTCGCATACGGCTTCTTATTTACGTTTGTGGGCCTTGTCATTAGCGCATGCGCGTAAGTCACTCTTGCTCTTTATAAGATCTTATGAGAAAATCGGAAAAAGGATTTACAAATAATTCGTGCTTCCAAAAAAAAAAAATTAAAACTACAATAATACAAGCCCAATAATTTTGAATAGCTTAAGCTGTTGCCACTTTTTTGTACAATTTTATCCAAAAAAAAACTATAAATATATTAAAATGAATCAAGCGCTTGAGTATTTCTATTAAATAAATTATTTCGTTCGCTTATTCCTAAATTAAAAAAAAAGAATTAAGTAACTTTAAACAACTTTTAAGTAAAATATATTGAAAAATATTTTTTTGTAAGAAAATAGTTTCAAAACCAACTATTGTTCTCAAAATATTAATTTATTTAACAGAATAAAATTAAAATTAAAAACAACCAAGCTCTGAATATAAATTGAGAATTTTACTTTAATACCTCTCTTTCCCTGCTGATATCATTGCTTATTTATTTATATAAAGGTGGTTTCATATATTTTTTAACAACCCCATTTCCGAAATTCATATAATGCATAAATATTTCCTTCCTTCAACAGAATTATCAGAAGTCTTGTGGATGATGGTGATGCGACGTGGTTTTTTGTTGCCTGTGATCTTTGGCGGTCCCATATTGCTTTATGTTTGTTTCGCTGCTTGGGCATTCTTTACCCTCGCAATTCTTGTAGTTATCGAGGGATTATCGGCATTTCTGCATACGTTGCGTTTGCATTGGTTAGTAAATATACTCATCCGACATTGTTTGTAAAAATAGTTCTGCATCGGTTTTTGTTTTCTTTTAATTAGAAAATCGTTAACTACTTTTAATTAAATACTAATTTTCTATCTCTTGCAGGGTTGAATTTATGAGTAAATTTTACGAGGGTTCAGGCTACGCCTTCCAACCCTTCTCGTTCAAGGCGATACTGGAGAGTTCCTACGAAGACTAATATCCGGCTTATATAGTATTTTTGTTAAAATTGCAAGCTCAAACTTATTCGCGATCAAATAATCAAAAGTCAACTCATTTTCAAATATATATGTATGTACAATATTCTTGCACATAATTATAATATATTGGCCTTTAAATGATATGAAGAATATTACTTAATAATAGAATAAATAAAGACGATAAAAAATCCTAAGTAAACAAATAATTATTTACAAAATTGCTGGAGAAGCACATAAATATTTTCCAATATATATTGTATATACATAAGATTTAAACAAAAACTCATAAATACTTGTATTTACCTTTATCAACCACTTGAGCGGCAATTAAGACAGCAATTGGCCAACAACTTCCCAACAAAATTAATATCTTATCTTATCAGAGAGTAGGCAAGCAAGAAGCGAGAAACCACTTCGGTGGGACAAAAGCAAATAATACCCCAGAAGAAATAAAATGTCATTTAAACGCGATAAGAAATCAAACGAATTATATGTTTACAAATAAACAAACATTCAATGAAAAACATATATACAATACAATTCAGTCAAGTGCTCTTGTCAAGGTGTCAAATCAATTGAGCTAAGTCGCGGGGTTAAGCCTGTATTTTAGTGACTTAATTAGGAATTTGATTGAAATTTACAACTTTGTGAGTTGAGATTGATGAGTTGATTTAAATAAACTTAACCAAAATCAATATATTTGTTTTTCTTTTTAAATTTCCAAACCCTATTCTTGTTTTACATTATTTATTTAATTTAATTTAATTTTATTTTATTTTATTTTATTTTATTTTATTTTATTTTATTTTATTTCATTTTATTTTATTTTATTTTATTTTATTTTATGTTATTTTATTTTATATAATAAAATTTAATTTAATTGTAATTTGTTTGATTTTGCTTCTCTTTTTTGGATATTTTAAATTATATTTAAAAATATCGAGTCGCTTACCTCACAACTTTCCAGCTAGCTCATGACCTTAACTTTTCATAGGGTATTCACACACACACACTCATCACACATTTGAGACGCTTAGGATTAGCATTAGCACTTTCAGACTGTTTGGCCGAGGAAAGAGACGAATGGCTAAAATTTAAACAAAAGGCATCCTTAGTTTCGCTGTTTACGAAGCAACATAAAACAAACAAGCAGTAACAACTACAACAAGACAAAGCAACAGTAGCAAAGAAAGGCATACGAAACAGCAAGAACAAAGAATAGACAGTGCAAAGTTCTAGATATGAAATGCAAGGACAACGGCGACAACAAGAGTAAAATGTTAACAACAACAAAGTGTGTTGTAAACATTAATAATAACAACATCAACGAATGTGGCTTATGCCTCAGCTAATAAATATATGTATACACCGCATACGTACATATCTACTCATTTGCACTTTACGTGCAACACTTGCACTTGCCACTTGCTTGTTGCAGTTCATTGTCGTGAATATACAAAATTTCTGTTATTGTTGGTGGTTTTGTTGTTTTGGATAAATGTCCGCAGACATGATTGGCATAACCGCTGGATGCTGAGTATTCGCTACCAACATTACAGCTGCTGCCATAGCCGTTGTTACTGCGTTATAAATGCTTTGTTCGTCGTGGCCCGGCAGCTGCTGTATGCCACACACTGCACTTGCTCCATTTACATGCAGCAGTGAAATTTTGAAATTTTGTAGGGCAGCTTTTTTTCTTGTCAATGTAGATATTTTGGGTGGTATTTATGTCCCGCAGCTAAACTTGTGTTAACCAAAAGTGAGTACACATATACTTATATAAGTGCATTTGTATTGGTGTTAGTATAGACATGTCAATACTGACAGCGTGCTAGTTGAATACAGGAGGGACCTTATGTCCAAAAAATATATTATTTTCTTGCTAATTTTTACATTAACTTAGTTGGTGCACACTCAGCGACGCAGCGCTCGTTAAGGAGTGCTGTTGCACGCAACTTATGTGTTGCAACGAGCATATACAAAGAAGTCCACACGCTATTCTGAATATTCATGATAAAATTTTTTTCTCATTACATATATTTTTTCAAGCTTATCATACCCGGGAGCAAATTTTCGCACAATGCATAAAAATATATTTGAGTTCAATAGCTCAGAAATTCAATATTTATAACAAAAAAATTAAACATTTCTATATGAGAGTTCGCCTTTTATGAAAATAATTTTTTCAAAATTTTAAAACTAATTTCACAATAACAAAATTTAGAATGAACTTGCTGAAACAGGGCCGCATGCATTTAACTAAGTAAACATTTAAAAAAATCATGTCACATATTTTCCACATTATTCAATGCACATCTCGAGCCGAAGATAGCTCTGCCTTATTTGTTATTTTTAGCTTTTTATATTTACATTTATTTTTACTTATCTCTACACATAAGTTATTCTCACCGATGTGCGAATATAACGACGAGAGTGTGGAGATGTCAACACTTTCTTCTTCTTCATCTACTGTTGGCCTACATTTAGGCGCTACAACGCAGCAGTACGCTTAAGCTTATCCTTGGCATAAGAACTCGTTGGTACATGACAAGTACATACTTGTGCTAACACGCACATACATACACTTGTAGGATAGCTTTGACTTATTAAATGTTTATTTGTGTGTTTGTTTGTATGTATGTGTACGTTTGCCTCACTTACCAACACGTTATTTGATTATATATATGAGTGTGCAAAGCAAATAGTGCGCGAGGCGTCTTTAAATATATATTTTTTATTCACTTTTTTCCTTAGAATATTTCATGTATTTAGGTCTTTATATATATATTTAACTTAAGCATAAACCTACACTTGCACTAGTACATAATGCAATTATTTACTTAGTGGCACACCTGGCGGCGCTGCTTGTGAGTGGCACTCAGTTGAATTGCTTGCTTTTCAAATTGAGTTTATCTATATTTTTTCAATGCTTGCTACTCGGCTAATTATCAACAACAACATAAACGAGGGAGTGCAGAAAGTTATATATATGTATATATATATATATATATGTACTTGTATGTTGCCTTACAAAGCAAAACAAAGTTGTAGTGTTTTTTTTTTTTTAATTTGATTTTATTTTATATGAAAATTTTCTTTACGTACTGTGTTAATTGCATTTTACTCTTTTCATTTGTGTTGTTGTGCCCTTCTGACCCACTTCATGCATACAGAGAGCGGAAACATGCACACCCACATTGAAATGTATATGCGAGTATATGGGCCAAGTACAACTTTTTAACCCGCCACAATTTTATTTGGTTAATTGCCTTTAAAAAGTTCAACTCAAATGAGTTGTATGATTGAATTGAAGGAAAATCTGCAAGCTTATGGGTATGTGTATGCGTTTTCGTGCGTTAATCATTTTCATACTCATTCTCATTAAAATACTTCTCCGCCTTCGAGAGATCGTTTTAATAATTATGCTCGAAAAGCTTAAAGCTACGAAGGAAAAGTTCTCAGTTGAATTAATTACAATTAAAACAAAAAAGAACTAAAGTATCTTCTTTAAATTCAAAAAATTTGCATAAAATAAAAATTCAACATTCGGAGTACTAAAAAGAAATGCATAAAAATACGATGCCTACATTTAGGCTACCATAAGAATCAGTTAATATTTCTTACATTAAAATGAAATGACAATAATATCACTGGACAAAGGTTTCAGAGGTCACGCATCTCAAAAATTTTTTTCATTATTTGAATTTCGCGTACTGACCGCAGCACAAATTGCTTTTATGTTTGCTTGATTATTTCCTTTGTTTTACTGATTACTCCTTTCGGTCCAAATGTTGGCAGAGACATCTGTCGGAAGCAGTAGTAGCATTCAATTCATTACTATAAGTGCTAAAAGTTTCTAAAAGATTGTTCTCGTCTCCACATACAAGTGAGGCGTGGCGTATACAACCCGGTATTTTTTGGGTAATGGAGATGGTACCGTAGTATATCGCAAGCCGGCGGGAAGCTAGGAGCTTGGCTCGTAGGAGCGTAATATTTGAAAGTGGAAAAGAGATTTCTTAAAACTATAATTTTGAGGACGATAAGAAATAGAGATAATCATAGCAAGGTCCCACGAGGCTTAGGAACATACCATTAGTTTCACACTGGCAACTGATCAGCTGTAACATCAACTCGGTCACTAAAAAAACCTTGCATCCTTGGAAAGAAAATTCATACGAGACGACTAGCTCAAAATTGTATTTTCAGAACGAACTACATATGTGGTTTTTTAAGGTTCTAGAGTATTCCCAAAAACGCATCCTGGTTTAGATATCTTAAGAAGCGAATTGTAAGAATGGATATTGCTGCCAAGGAAAGTTCTCCGAGAGGCGGCAAAGTGAAAATAAAATGCTAAAGTTGGACTAGTTATTACACGGCTAAAGAGTAAAGAACTTAATTAGAAAAAAAGCATAAAAATAAAGTAGTCGAAAACGGCATGGGTCTTTTCTTCTAATATCTTTTCAGCAGCTCCATCATTCGTTTAAATATTAAGCAATAAATTCAAGGCAAAGTAATTCTTATACTATTAATTTGGCAAAATCACACAACGAAGTCATCTTTGTCGTTAATCTTGGCTGAGCGACCGTTTATACCGGCTCACTGTCCGCCGACCACGACCATGTGCATTTGCTGTAAGCGATCCACTTCTCATCACCAGACCACTTTCATTGTGTTCATGTAGGGCAAACTTTGAAATGTCGACACCTTAGATCTTTGTGTAACGATTTGAATACTAATTTTACCAACATTGATTGCTTTGACTCACCTTCTGTATCAAAACCAACTTAATGAGTGCTTTAAATATTTAAGTGAATTCAGTCTCCTTTTTACTCAAACAATTTAAAGCAGCTGATAAATAAATCTGTAGATGTTCAGTTAGAGATCAGTGAAAGCGCGACTTTCTGCGATCGGCCTCGGGTTCAGGGCCGTCCGGGCAGTCACTGGTTTTCGGTTCCTTGTTTAAGTTTTTCGATCATTTTTCGGACGCGCTTCTCTGTAGGTTGGACAGGAAATGGGTAATGCTGAGTTCGGCGTTGTAATAACTCACGGGACACCCAAACATCGAGCTCCTTTCTGTATCCGGTTGCATATTGCCTTTTGAACAAAGTATAGTTCCTAGGCAATTTAAACCTCTCACGTATAGTGTTCAGACTCGTTGATTTTCACTATATCATCGATGTTTTCGACAATTTGCCTACCGCACAGAACTACAAACACTATTCACATTTTCAGTTGAGCGAGTTGTAGTTTGGTGTATTTTCTCATTGCTGGTGTTCACCTTTAACGTGCGTTCAAATTCCTCATAGTTGAGTGATCAACACGTCTTCCCTTATCCTTTCTCGTGCGAAAGGTCATGCATTACGTCCATATATTCAGTAAAAACCGTTTAAATTTTATTGATTTAGAATCGATTTTGAAATACCCAAAGCGAATATACTACATATATACTCAAATATTCAAATGTCTCAAACAACAATTTTTCAAATAACAATTTAGGCGACAAAAACAAACATGAAATGTTCTATTATTTTCCACTCATGGTTATAAATTATCAAATTGCCAAAACGTTTACACTCCTACATTTATGAATTGCTCGTTTGAAAGTCTAATTTTTTTCTTTCTTTTTTTTTTTTGCGTCTAACCGAGTGACCGCCAACAGTCTCTCCAGTTAAGTGTTTTTCGAAAATTTACCTAAAATTCGTTTTATATTACGTTTTTGTTGCGGTAATGCTGGTGTATTACATACATATGTACGTTAGGTTGGTTGGGAACTAAATATATGTATGTATGTGTTTTTCATTTAAATTTGTGTTCAATACTCTAAGGTTAATAGTTATAGAAATACGTACATATATAGATATATGCAAGTTGTTGACTTATTAAGGTGACACACTCCTGCTGAGCAATTAAAATTTGTAATAATTTAACTTTAACGTGTCATTGCAATAGAAATCCTGAACCTGCCGTGAGCATACGTAATAGAAAACAATTAATTTCACTCGCCAATTCATTTACAAGCTGGAACTCAGTCAACTTGGAGAAAAGTTTCTCAGCAGTATTCTCAATTTTATTGTCCCATGAACCACCCTTATGACTGTTGTACATTCTTGTTTGAGGCATGCCACTTCTAGCATCTAATACAAAACTGACTGCTATTTTATTGATTGTTGTTGCTGTTGTCGTTTGGCGGCTGTTTTCAATTATATTTGCATGCAGCTGCAGTGGAACCGTCGCCGGTTGGTTGGCTGGCAGCGAGCAAAAGGTTTTCAATTGTGCTTACAACAAATATAAATCAAAATGTGCCAAACGCTTGGCAGGCCAAATAACGTTTTCCAAAGTTTACCATTATTTTCAATTTGGTTTTTTCATTTCTTTTTTTTTTTTTTGCATATTTTTTAATTTTTGTCAGCACCGCACCATTGCCTCTGCTACATCTGCAATCACCATCACCAGGCCCGCAGCAGCGAGGAATCAATAGGACTAGCAGTGGGCGTAGCCAACGAAAGATCTCACCGCGCCTTCTCCTGCATGCATGCACGGTTGTTAGCAAATTTCGCCCACAAATATCAAACAACAACACACTCAGCAACAGAAAGATATTCGCAGTGGCCGCCCCCGAAACCGCAGTGGCAAAAGCAAATATTGCGCCATAAACCAGACGACTAAACACCTCGATGAGAGCTTGTATATGTATTTTCATGCGCTTGCGTTTGCGTCGGTGTATGTATGTATAAATGTGCGATTGCAAACTGCCCACGCTATCGTCGAAATTTGTTACTCGAATTGCTGCGTTTGGCTTTTGTTTGTCAAGCAATCGGCAGCCTATTTATTTCACACATACACGCACACAAATATATTTTTTTTTTTTCATACATATGTGTTAAACTAGACTACAGCACGCCTTCCAAACTAATCGAAATCGAAAATTTATTAGCTTTTAATTCTTGTTGTTGATTGTGTTGTATGTAACTGGCGCTAGCCCCCGCTGCCTACTATTTTCCAAAATGCTCACATTCTCTTCATCGCATACAATTGTTGGTTTTATGTACATATTTGCTAATGTTGTATTTTTTCTTCTTTTTAAATGTGTTGTACATTTAGTTGTCGTTCGTAAATAACAAATATTCCATGAATATGAAAAAATGTTCTACTAACAACATAAAAATAAAATGTTCGGACGTGATGGCATCATACTACGTAGGAACAAAAATGAAAATATGAAAGTAATAGACCAAGCAGATATTACCTTTTACAAAACTTGACCACCGCGATAGTCTTCCAGTTTCAAAAATCCTAATTACTTAAATAGATTTATTTCTTACGCAAATTTTCTACTATACAGAAAAAACATAGCATTTTTATTTATTTTATTTAATTTTATTTTATTTTATTTTATTTTATTTTATTTTATTTTATTTTATTTTATTTTATTTTATTTTATTTTATTTTATTTTATTTTATTTTATTTTATTTTATTTTATTTTATTTTATTTTATTTTATTTTATTTTATTTTATTTTATTTTATTTTATTTTATTTTATTTTATTTTATTTTATTTTATTTTATTTTATTTTATTTTATTTTATTTTATTTTATTTTATTTTATTTTATTTTATTTTATTTTATTTTATTTTATTTTATTTTATTTTATTTTATTTTATTTTATTTTATTTTATTTTATTTTATTTTATTTTATTTTATTTTATTTTATTTTATTTTATTTTATTTTATTTTATTTTATTTTATTTTATTTTATTTTATTTTATTTTATTTTATTTTATTTTATTTTATTTTATTTTATTTTATTTTATTTTATTTTATTTTATTTTATTTTATTTTATTTTATTTTATTTTATTTTATTTTATTTTATTTTATTTTATTTTATTTTATTTTATTTTATTTTATTTTATTTTATTTTATTTTATTTTATTTTATTTTATTTTATTTTATTTTATTTTATTTTATTTTATTTTATTTTATTTTATTTTATTTTATTTTATTTTATTTTATTTTATTTTATTTTATTTTATATTATTTTATTTTATTTTATATTTCTTTTAATTTTTTCCTTTACCCTTTTTATTCGCATCAATTAAAGGCATATAATTTTCTGACATACAGTGAGAAAAGATGAACAGCTGGGCAACTAAGCGGACAACCAACTAACCGCTGAACTGCGAGTACATGCAACCAGACATATAGCCAGTTGGGCAACCATACAGCTTAACAGTATACCACAAAAATTTCACGTTGTGTATAATTTCGCATTTATATGCCGAGCCGTCAGCGCAGCATCGAGAGCACGCATCTCAACACGGATGCAAAACCGTATTTGGTTGGTGACAACATATGTGCGCAATTGTGAGCGTGCGTGGCGTGTGAGGCGTGATTTTAGCTAGTAAAAGTACTGAAGTTTATATATATATATTATATATATATATATACTGAAAACGTATTTAGGTATCTGAATATAGGCAAGTTGCTCACTGACAAGGATTTATGTATATATGTTATAAATGTATGTATGCATAAAGAATTTTTGTTGTGAACAATTTGTCGCTTTTGGGTGTCAATAGAATATTGTAGTTGTCATAAATCATATTACGTTTGCATTCATGTACGAGCAAATATTTTATCTATATAGGTATACATATTCTTGTATTTGCATGTATGCGTAATATATGTAGATGTATGTATGTGTAGAGCTATGCATGTCAGTGTGTCATTTGACACGAAATGCGCCAACAAGCGCCAAAAGACATGTACGAACTTAACCATTTCACTCACATACACCCATACATACAAGAATGTAGGTATCAATATTCTTGTAACAAAATATATAAATTTTGAGTGACGTGTACACGTTTGTTTGGCAAGCAATGCAAAATAAGTCAAATAAAATTGTTATTGACAATAAATCTAAATTTTTCCACATGGACAGCGAAATTTGTCAGTTGCTAAGTTAATTCTCGTTCACATATACATATATATATGGAAATATTAAAATTGTAAATATTTTTGTGAAACATAAAAAGCAAACAAAAAACTGTAAAAACCAATTTTGTTGATTTTTTTCCGTAGCAAAGCAAATACTTTCTAACTTCATAACGTAGGTAGCGCAGGAGTGGAACAAAACAAAACATGTTAACCACAATGGGCTAAAATCGTCACCTTGACCATATCATCGCCGGACTTTATGTGTACGGAGATTAAATAGTCCAAAAATGGCCACAGCGGTTACAAAGCTCAATATATACTCGAATATTACTATAAATTTTAACACATGTATAAATCACTGGCCGCAGTCGAAGATGGATGAACCAAAGATTCAAAATCCTACTTTTTTTGGGCGATGAACCAGTGGCCGAAAACCAGCGACGGTCTTGACGGTCCTGAACCCGAGACCTATCGCGGAAAATCGCGCTTACATTTGCTTCTTATGTTAAACATCTACAGGTTTGTTCATCAGCTGCTATAAATTATATGAGGAAAAAGGAAACAGAATTCACTTAAATATTTAAAGCACTCATTAAGTTGGTTTTGATACAGAAGGCGAGTCAAAGCAATCAATGTTGGTGAAATAAGTATTGAAATCGTTACACAAAGATCTAAGGTGTCGACATTTCACCTCTAATCAATTTTGTTAAAAATAAAACTCCAAGCATCTTGCTACGTCTATGGAGTGCAGGCAGATTAATGAACCATAAACGACTCTTTGCAGGTTCGTTTTCACATCCCAGATTAAATTTCGTAAACCGAATAGTAGGAATTGCTTATCATTGATAGTGCGGACTCTATATAGTAGAGCCATCTTCTGTAATAGGTCAAAGAAATGAAGAAAAGGGTGATTTGATACAGGTTTTTGCCTTACTTGCGTAAGCATTTATATTGTTTTTCAATTCTAGCGTTCAAAGTGAATGTAACTCTGCTTTGCACATTGATTTTCAAAATTTTGGTCAATATTTCTCAACTTTTTCCATCGCTGAATGATGATAAATGTGAACTTGTGCACAAACAGATAGTAAAGTCAGCGATCCCAGTTTCAATCTGTCATTACATAGGAGTTGTTGGGAGCTGCATTGTGGGTAGTGAGCTCACTTTCCTTAGACCCGATCCAAGGATTTTTTAGCACACTTTTTCAATCTTGAGTAACATTTGTTCCAAAACAAAATTTTTATTACGACTATGAGAAAAATTTGTTTACATTTTAACTCCAATAACAAACAGAAGCCTTCGAAGATCGTAAAATTTCTTCCGCTTACTTGTAATGAGTGTGATTAGAAAAGCAGATGATGCGGTTTTGCTATCAGCATAGCAGCATACAAGTTGGAAAAAAGCAGTTTTTTTTGGCGTAGGCAACGTGATATTCGTTTATTTTTCAAGTGAAACCAAGCACTCCTTTACTTAATATGTTCTACGATGTGGAAGTCTTCATATTCCTCTGTTTCCACTTGCGCGGTAGCTGCTCAATATAGTAAATTTCGTTATGTGCCTGGCTCGATTCATCATGGGTGTTGCAAATGGGCAAAGTACTAAAAATCAACCACAAAACCTTTCTATCGGAAACTTCAATTGCTGGCTTATCGTCCGCGCTCTGCACAGTGCTGTAGGCCGGGAAGGAGAGCTACTTGTTGGGCATTGTTTTGTGACTTGAGAAAGGATTTTAATTTTTAATTTCCTAAATATGTCTAGGTAACACCAATTGGAAAGCATAGTTCTACGGTAGATCTCAAGTTGGATATTATTATTGGTATTCGATTTTATTTCCAAGATGAGAGCCGAATCTCTGATTTTTTCTAAATTGAAGAAATCATATCTGAAGCATAGTTTGGTACCGAACGCTTCTGAAGAAACCATCTACATCAAAACAACCTTCAATTTAATACAAGGATGATGTTTTCAAACCGTTTCTCATCGCTTTTTCAGGATATGGTGGTGAATATCAGTTGTAGAAATGCCAGGTCAGAAGCCACGAAGATATGGTGCAATCAGTTCGCTGGGAAAACTATAATTTCCGCACACTGACCGATAAATTAATGGAAATCGTTGAGTCTCACAGTCGGATGCCCAGGAGCTTAACTTTCCACAGAAAAACAGTTTCAAACTATTTGAAAATGCAGGATATTCAGAGGAACTAAATTTATGGATAACACATGAGTAATGAAGTGGAAAACATATGAGCCGAATTTCGATCAACGATTTACTGCTAAATCGTGACACCAGCGTTTGATTGATGACCATGAGATTTTTTCTTGCTTATTTGGTAGGTCGACTATGAGCTGCTTCCTCACGGTCACACTCTTTACACGGACCTGAACGGTCAGCAATGGAACCGCCAAAAGCAAGGAACTCGTCACATATTCCGATGGCTTGGTTGGGAGCTTATTATGTATCCACTACATGATTCAGACCTCGCATCACTATTAATAAAATGAATGCAGTAATGGCCTTACAAAAACTTGAGTAAACTTTTATTAAATCAAATTAAGAATTTCAATTTGAAATATTTTAAAAAACATTGGAAAAAATGTGGATTGAAACAAGTTTTGTATTTTCGCTACCAATAAAATTCAAAAAAAAAAAATCCTTGAAATATCGCACATTTCGAAAACCATCCACGTACAAATCGCAATAACAAGTACAAAAACAATGAAGCGGAAAATATTCCCCACACAAAAGCGTATTCTCATAATCAGACAGAGTAAAAGTAAAAAGTCTTTGTAGGAACGTCAGCAATAAATCAGAAATTAAATATATTTTTCTGACAATTTCTCAGCTGAAAATAATGCAATTGCGAGTGAGTAAGTAAGTAAGTGGGGAAGTAAGTAAGTGAAACGCATTCACTTGTGCAAGTTGAATTAGGCGACCGACCAACATACAGAACAACCCACATTCACATACAACTCCAACACACAACCCCTTGTTGATACACAATGGAACGTAAGAACCTCGATAAGTAAGTGGCAGCATTTGTTCTATTCTTCTAGTGTACTCGCTGTAAATGTGCTGGTATATGAGTAGGTACATATGTACAAGGAGTTGCAATGTCTTTGATAGCAGAAAATGTCATAAAATACTTAGACATTATGCCTCATGCACAATATTTTATGCGCCATACCCCCGCATCCACACACAGAGCGGTCAAAACGAGTTGCCCTGCCTTGTGCCCTGTTAGCTGCCCACTGTCTCTGCAAAGAAATTACTTCAAGTGTATGTATGTATGCGCATTTACTTGTATGTTGGTGTGTAAAAGTTGGAGCTGGAGAAGAACTCTTTCCACGCTTGGCTGTACATACTGACATCGGCACGCGCGCTTTAGGAAAAATTTTACAATTTACCCGCCAGCATTTATCTTGCTCCAATTGTATAATATATATGTATATGTGTGTATTTAAATGTAACGCAATTGAGGCGCAGTAGGCCTTGCAATGCGGTTAAACATAAATCAAGTGCCAACTATGATGACCATAGAATTTCATGGAATTAGATCTACAAACGTACAAACGTCGACAAATAAGGGATTGTACATACATACATATTATATACTCAGCTAAAATATTTTTGTTTGTGTGGTATTTTGTTTTCATTTTTATTTTCTTTTTTTAATATTACTTTTTTTTGCTGAGATTTTTTTTTTTTTGTTTTTCTTTTTTTTTGGATTGGGCCAGCGAAAAGTCTCAAGGACATGCAGGCATTTTTTATGCAGCGAAATCTTTTCAAGTGCCTTGCTCGCTTTTATTCGCTTGCGGTTTGACATTTTGCGGATTTTTACTTACTTACTTTCACAGCATATTTCCTTTTATTTCTTTTTTTCAGCCTTTGTCTTTCTAATTTGCGACCTTTAAGGCAATCTTCAATGCAAGTGAGCCGCTCTCGGTTGAAAAAAAGAACCAACGAACCACAGCGTACACGCCACTTCAAAGGCCATCTCGGCCACCACAGAAAAAAATTTGCTTGACCAGCGCGCAAATAAACACACAAATACATTACACACAGCCATACAAAGAGCAAGCGATTCGGTCAGAGAAGAGTTGGGCAGAAACCAGTCGCAAATATTCAACAAATCAAAGAACTAGAAAGCGAAAGGGGGCATAAATAAAAGATTACATGAAACATAAAACAGACAAAAAATAAACAGAAATAAATAAAAAATAAAATTAAATAAAAAATAAAACGAAATAAATTAAACTAAAAGCCTTTTCATGAACTACAAGGCTACAGTGAAAGCTTAAAAAATAAATTTTTTTGGTAAAAATTTTTTTTAGTTTTTTTTTTTTTAGTTTAAGTTGCTTTCAAGTGCTCTTTTAAAGCGTTTTTAGGAATCTAGCGCTACATCAAAAAAAAAAACCCCTTGAGTCTTAACGATAATTAAGTGTGGCAAAAGCTAGATATTTCCCAACTTCGCTCATACAGCTCACTGAGGCTTTTAACGAACTAAGCCTGTAGTACGTGAATTTACGACTGGTTAAATTCTGCCTTCCTTTTCGTGGAAGAAATCTGAGATTTGATATAGAATTGTTTCGGATGGAGTTTTTTTCTGAGTAGTGCATCTGCTTTAAATATACTGACTGCTACTGATTGATCCTGAGAACTCGGGCTAAACGTGAATGCCAGCTGTCCCTACCCTAGCAAGGTAGAGTGGTTTGAAACAGTCAGAATATTAATATCTTCGTTGATTGGTATGAATAGCTGGATGGTGTAGATTTCTTCTGTTGCCATGCCAATAACTAAAGTAGCTTCAAACTCAATGAATACAACTCGGACTTTCAAGCAGTGCCACATGGGAACCGCTTTAATGTGAAAATCTATTAGGCTTCCAGTACCCTGCTAAATGGCAATTAATCTTCTGCATCAGATCTTTCCAAAGACGGTTACACTCTTTCTCCGGTAGGTACTGCATCGAATGCATTCAAAGCTGAGAGCTTTCGCTCAATGCAATTATAAAAGCTTGATAGCATAGCCGCTTTCTCTTTCGAAGAAGGTCAGCGCCGACTCTTTAGATGGCATGCGTTGACCAGAGTCACTCTACGGTTGATTTCTAGGCTGAGAGTGAGTGAGAGTCAGCAAGTAGACGCGCTCAATGTTTGTGTGATATAACTCGATCACTACCAAACATATTCGCTTCGCTTTTTGATGCAGCTATGGCTTAAAGCTTCCTTCCGTTGATCTTCTTTCGTTCATCTCGTATCAGCGTAACTTCCCTATTTAATCTCACAAATTGATGAAATTGTTTTTGCTGCTCCTCACAACAAATACATATACTGAATTTATTATTGTATATCAAAAGCTTGGATATTTTTGTCGCCATGTCCTTCGGTAGGCATCCGCCGCAATTAGCAACATCATAAACAACATCGTCACTTACGGCATTATCAGCAATATTTCGGCTCATCATTTTTGTTTTATTTTAATTTGTTCTTTTTCTTTTTTTTCTTCTTGAAAAGCAAAGTATATTAAATTTCGTTTGCAGCACATTGTTTTTAGATGCTTAATTTAATATCTGCGCTGAATTTTGGTTGGGTGTGTTGGAGCTGGGTTGGATTGACAAGGTGAGGGTAATGCAGATGGCGCTCAAGGCCAACACAGTTAACCGCCTCGTTGCCAACTTTGTGGTACTTAGCCAACAACAACAATAACAACAAACGAAGTGGGGCGCACGTAATTAACACCAACGCAAACATTCATCCATCCACACAAATATAAATACTCGTAAATGTTGACTTTGCATGGCATAAGGACATTTGCGGACAACAAGCGAATATAAACATAAAACAGAATAGCTGAGCGGCGAGAAACAAAAGTCTGAAAATGTTGAATTTACGCACATTAATGCTTTAATGCCTCGGACGCCGCTGAAAGCTCACATAAAAGCGTAAATCTACACTTGTGTGCATACATACTCGTATGTATGTAATTTGCTCATTTGCTCATTCACACACCAAATGCACTGTGCAACATTATGGTTTTATTCTAAGTTTTCTTTAATGACTGTTTTTTTTTCTCATCTTTTAACATTTTTTTATTTATTTTTTTTATTACTTTTATATTTTTAAGAAAAAGCTTTGAGTACAACTCAAAGTATTTTTAAAGGCAAGAAATATAAAAAAAAATACTATAAAAGATTGTGACTCTACAAGCCAACAATTTATAAAACATTTAGTGATAAAGCTTGATTTTTGTATCTGAAGATATCGAATAAAATGTTTCTGAAGAAAAAAGTTTGAAATTGAAAAAATACAACAAAAAAATTATAATTTTGAATGCAGCATTTAAATATTGATTCTGAAAACAAAAATTTCGAAATTTAAAAATGAAAAAAAGCTTTTTTTGAACGCAATAAAAAATTTTAAAATTTTAAAAAATAGTTTCGGAAACCAAATTAGCCTTGACATAGCTTTAATACTGTACTTCCAATAAAGTGAAAGTTTTCAAAAACAAAAAAGAGTTGTCAAGGAGAAGGCCAGAACAAAGAGAAGCTTTTGAATGCTAAGGCTTTAAATTAGTCTACGCTGAACGTCCAAAAAAAAATATTTTTCTGGCAAAAATTTCAAAAATTAATCAAAAATTATTTACAAGTCTGTTGATATTGGTATGGAGCTATTCATTTCGTATTTTCGACTGTCAAAGCAACCATTGTTCTTTTCCATTTATAAAAATGGATCGCTTAACAAACCTCACTATGTGCAAAATTTGTTAAAGCAAACTAAAAAATTGGTGAACACGAGGCCAAGTTTCGTGCTTTTTGAGCAGATTGTGGTCCACATAATCGTCCAACTGCTTAGACAATTGGCAAAGTTTTAAAGAAATTTGAAAAGCTTGGATCGGTTAGGGATATCATTGTTCCGAGGACCCGAATATGTCTACTTTTCGACGTTCTAAAGCGATATTAGACTGCGCGAGATTATCGCTTTCGTTCAGAGCGTAATAATCGCATTACGTACATAATCTCTTATCTTGGCGAAATATCGTGTCTCTGCGGAGAAAGTTTTAACTCTTGAGTACTTGAAAGCCAACAGTCGGCTGAAATAGCGTTCAATTCGTGCCAGAAAGTTGTCGAAAATTCGAAAATCAGATACCAAAATTCAAACCTCCTAAATCAGTGGGTGGTGGCACAGCTGTACATCTATCTGATCTTGTTTCCTTAAATCTTTCATCTAATTTTATTAATAAATAGTTTAATAAATTTGGTTTTTTTTGAATTAGTTTTCGAGGTGTGTCTTTTCAATTACATCTTTTATCTATAATTTACGGAGTTAGTCGGGAAAATAATTTTCCAATTTCAAAAATTTTTTGATTTAGATAATTTTGTAAGAAATTCATATTTATTAAAAAAAGAATTTAAAATTATTTTGCAAGAAAGTTGGCATCGATCAAAAATCCCTAATTAATTTACTAAGTCACTTATTTTTTTTTTGTTAATTTTGTTGCACAGTGTTATACTTCATACTGTGTGTTTATGGGTGTTTTGCTAATAAATATGTATTATTTTCGGCAAATTTGTGCTCATTTTG